AGTAAATATCTTAGGAATATCAAATCCACTAAAATCAAAGCCAGTGAATATTCCTCCTTTACAAAATATGGGTGTGACCCCTAGCCAGCTGTATATTGTATTATTGAACATCTCAGCAACATCAAATTTGCTAAAATTCAACTAGTGAATATTTCTCCTTGTACAGAATATGGGTTTGACCCCCTAGCCAGCTGAATACATGTACAATTATATTTACGTACAAATTCAAAACCTACAATGCAATATCAAATCTGCTAAAATTCAAGCTAGTGAATATTTCTTCCTCCGTAGTACAAAATGTATGCTAGTGTGACCCCCTAGCCTGCTGTTCCCTCAGCAGTATAGAATATGGCAGGTTTGACCCCCTAGTCTACTGTTCCCTCAGCAGTATAGAATATGTTCAGCCAAAACCATGTTGGACAAAGTCTAGAGGAATGGCATCTCATCAGATGAGGATGATAAAAACTGCGTGTATGTAGTGTCCCTGTCATCTTTAAAAATTCAGGTATTCTCTTGCATCTCAATGACTGTAACAATTTTGTATGAGATGATGTGATTTCCAGATCTGTAAATCAGAAGTTCCTTACGACAAAATAAACGGAAATAATGGATAATTTTTTAAATATTTGATGGGATGAATAGTGAGCAGAATTAGCTTTAAAAAAATATGTTTAGTGCCGATAGAATATCCTGGTTGCCAGTGTCTGTAAATTGCTGATGGCTTGCTAGTTTATTTTTGGATTTAAATGCTTTCAATATTGGATTATTGCTATCCCCAGGGCGGATATCCGGACATTTTCACCACATGGCAACCATCATGGAGAAAACAATGGCCAAAAACTCATAGAAAACAGTACTTTGAGATATTTGTTGAGACTCCCCTGAACAGTATAACAAGTTTACTCCTACATATGCAACATAGATAAATTTGGTTGTTCAGGATTGTCTCAAAGTTGAGTGGCGCACATTTTAGCAACTTAGAATGTTCTGTGACATAGCTCATTTGTTGTGAACAATAAATCCCATTATTAGACTTGCTACGAAATTGTTAATCCTTCCTGTTTGGATCGTTATGTCGATCTGTTATTTCACCCAAACATGGAAAACAATACGCATATGATGATAATAATGGAGATATTGAAAATTATATCCATTTGTTGTTATGGTATTTCTTACAAGTCATCGTGCACATGAATGGCAAAGAAGATTAAAAAAACAATTATTTTTCACGTCAATGTAGCATTGTAAGACAATACAGCAGCACATAAATATGCGTCGCTGAAGACATTTGCATTCATTTCATTCATTACTACAGCATCCAACCATATCTAGCTGCACTTCCATCTATCGTCATGTCATACTAGTATAAATCAGTATTTGTTCTCTTAAATTCACCACCAAGAGTGTGATTTTGGTTCATGCCGAGTGTTCAGGCCCTCAAATCTCGACACGTGCTGAGTTTCGGTCCCAAGCATCTATTAGGGATGTGGCTTCTAATAGAGATTTGACAGTAATATGTATTTATAAAGTTTTTGTAATGCATCATCTGCTGTTAACCAAAATAGTTAGGACAAAATGACCTCTTCATGTGTTAAATTAAAAAAAGGATTTTATTCATTCTTTTGAAGTCTTTGTGTTTTTAATATTAATTTACTTCTTTTATTTCAGGAATGTTCAGTGGTGTTTTTCTATTACAAGTTGGATATTTCTTAGTCTGCGTTTATACACTGGATTCAGTTCTTTGAAGTTTGTGTTATCTTCGTTATTGCCAAACAAGTGAGCGAGAGAGCCAGGGATAGTGTTCTATCCATGGACTTGTGGATTTATTTGAAATCACTTTATAAACTGTTTGAATCAAGCATTCTGTAATTTGTTGTGAAAGATGAGTGATACAGAAGCCACAGTTGTAGAAACACTCAACATGAGTGACAATTCAGTTCAATCTACGTGCAGTGGTAAGTATTTCAGCTTTCCATCTACAGGCCATAGTTAATCAAGTTTTTTAATTTATTCATTTATTTTTTCATGTTTATGCCAAGGAGAAAGTTCCAGATATTGAATGTCAGTTTTTATTTGTGTGTGTAAATGCAAATACCGACATACATGTACATGTATATGTGTATTGTAAAAACTGTTATTTATTTATTTCTCTGGTCATCCCTTCAGCAAAAATAAGTGAAAATAAAATGCTTTACAGTTACTGTAGTACATTTTCCTACAGATTCTATATTCCTATCTTTCTATCATAATGACATTATGGCAATTCAATGCACTATCACGATGTCAACCAAGCCCGGTTGTATACAAGCACCATTTAAACAAAAGTTCCCCTGTAGTTGTATCTGTTAGGGACCATCTTTAAAGACCACTTGTCCTTGGTGATCAACTTCTAACAGTTTCAATGTGATTTATAATATCTTGCCTTGTGTGGTTACTCTACATAGATTTGACTCTAAATTAAGTCAACACTGGAAATTGTTATACTGATAACCACATGCCTTGGCTTTTGAAAATAGCTGAAAGCTAAAAATAGGTCTCCTAAACACAGTATCGCAAGTGATTGGAGTATGGAAACAGTAATGCGAGTGATTGGAGTATGGAAACACAATAACGCGCAAGTGTTTTGAGTATGGAAACACAATAATGTGCGAGTGATAGAAGTATGGAAACGCAATAGCGTGCAAGTGATTTGAGTATGGAAACGCAATAATGTGCGAGTGATTGGAGTGTGGAAACACAATAATGTACGAGTGATTGGAGGATGGAAACGCAATAACGTGCAAGTAATTGGAGTATGGAAACAGTAATACAAGTGATTGGAGTATGGAAACACAATAACGTGCAAGTGATTGGAGTGTGTAAACACAATAACTTGCGAGTGATTGGAATATGGAAACACAAAATCACGCAAGTGCTTGGAGTATGGAAACGCAATAATGCGCGAGTGATTGGAGTATGGAAACGCAATAGCGCGCAAGTGATTTGAGTATGGAAACGCAATAATGTGCGAGTGATTGGAGTGTGGAAACACAATAATGCACGAGTGATTGGAGGATGGAAACACAATAACGTGCGAGTGATTGGAGTATGGAAACGCAAACGCAATAACACGCGAGTGATTGGAGTGTATACGATGTGGATTTTTATAGTGATAATTAGCTCTTCAGAGTCTAGATTTTGGCGATTGATAGGAGTGTGGAGTGATCAGTAAAGTCTGTTGTAACCAGCATGCTTGTCACTACAATGTGGCTTAAGACTTGGTAAAGTTGTCTCATTTCACAGTCTACATTGCCAAACTCATTGAATTTAATACAATGGTTGATAACTAGTGATGCATGAACTGAATACGTGCTTATACTTACAACGAGCATACAATCAAGAAAATGCCTCAGATTACCTTGCTTTCATGCAAAACTGACTGTAACCACTTGTTGATGTCACACCCAAGAGTATTCTATGTTTGACTTCGTGTTTACATTTCAGGACTTGAAATCAAACTTTTTTCAACTTCAATGTCATTGAAATTGACCAAGCATAGTTATTTATATAGGTGATTTTCCACTGCTGTATTTCCCACACCTTCTCTTTTGCTACAAAAGACTTCTTTTTCAAAAACATCTTGCCCAATTACTTTGATACTGGATATGTAAGTCTTAAATCTTGTAATAAAAACCCCCATTCTAACTATATAATTGACCTAAGACTAAGGAGATCATAATGTTCTCACTCAGCGTACAGGTAACACCAGTGAACCTGCATATTTTAAAATCAAGGTTATTTTTCGGTAACTTACAACTATAAATATAATGTCATAGCACAGATTCTGTACCAAATTTATAATGATTGCTTGAGCATTGGGCAACATTTTCTTGAAAACCTAGTTAAATTCGTGGGCAGAGTAGAAGCAGTTGAAATTCCTTGTGAATAAACTCTTTCTAATGACTTATGTAACACTGACTGTAAATTCTTATACGCTGTACTGAACAGACAACCTATCTGCACCCTGAATTCGAATAGATACACCTCTGTCAATTCTGTTCACGGCACTTCACAAAGACCTTTAACTCATGGCTAATATTAGTAGTCTTTTGGATTTATCAGTAGTTTGCAGCCATGCATATCATGTGAATGCATTGACAGTTAACTGTCAACTTTCATTGAAAGTTGTTAATTAATTAATGTGTAGGACACTTTGAAAACAACCAACCTCATGTGCATGTAGTAAACATTTAAGTTTTTCGCAAACTAACAATCAAGAATATTCTAGTCTGTACTTGTGCACCTGGAATTATTGTTACAGTATTCCTTGAATACCCTTTGACTGTTGACCCACCAATAATTTAATGCAACATTTTTCGCATTTTTATGTAATTTCTTTAATTTTTTGGCATAACCCCTCCAATTTAATGTAGATCTTGATCAATAATTTTTGAGGAAACATTTATAAGTGGCAAAAGTCTAAGTGTATAAATGTTGTGTCTGTCTACTTCTACATTTGTAGCTATATGTACATGTGTATTTTACAACTGATTTGAAGTCACAAAATATATATGCTTGTTTTTAATTTCAAATTACTCTTTTTCTAAACTGGGCATTTCGAAAGAAAATTTAAGGGAGTTGATGGTTGTACTTTTGTTTGATTGTAGGTTTAGACATGGTTGCTACTGCTACATGTATATTATTGTCCATAGCTTATTTACCAACTTGTTTAGCCTCTTGTTAACTGAAAAAATGTAGCATTATGAAAAATCTTTTCGTTTTCCAGATTCATGCAGCAAATAGTAACTTTCCCTTCACTATGAGATCTTGTGTATTGTCTGAAAGATGCAGAATAAACATCATAAAAATTAAATGGTTTGATTTTGAATGTCAATTCCCTATTTATAACTCTATGTTGAAATTCATATTTTTGAAGAGTAGATTATTGCATTGAGATACCCTTACTTCATTAAAATTAACTATCAAATATGTATAGAAAATATTAAGCATAGAAATACTTAGAAATACTTTCCGGTTTTGACATTGCTACAACACTATGACCTTTGTCTTGTTTTTACAATTTATTCTCTCTGAGAGTTTTTGCAGTAACCAAAAAATGTTCAGTTGAAATGCTGTAACATACAAATGTTAAGATAGAATATGTGAATTTTACTCTTTTATTATTGTTCTCTGGTTGGTCTATACCTGAAGTGCACTCTACATACTCATTCATATGCATATGCATAAACCTAAATAATACTTTTTTGTCACAAAAAACCTTCAACTTTGACACAACTTTTTACCCTTGATACAGCAGATAATTTTGACAATTGTTTGAATTTACTGGCAGTTCTGATGACAGTCCACTCTTAATAATATACATTTAATTGGTGTTTAATTTACCTTATTGTGAATGATATCATTTGCTCAAAGTAATCCATAATTCTTGGGATGTAAAAGCGACTTAATTTGCTATAGTCAAATCTAAATATACTTATAGACTGGTGAAGGGTTAGTACATGTAGATGCCTTGAATGTTTAGATGCATGGTGCCAGCATTTTTTAAATATCCCTGTCCTGAGAGAAAGTTCATATCATACTAGGATATTAAAAATTATCTTCTTACTTTCAATAAGAGCTGATCCTAGCTAGGCCAAATACAATGAATAGTGTGTTTCTAGTAATATTGAAAACAAAAGTAGGATACAAGTAGGTAGGAAAACTTTATTTTATCATATTTTTTGACTCGTAAGCACACAATGGGAGTCTTTGCAGTTACCCTGTCCATATGTTTGTATGTGTTTTTATTTTATAAAAATTAATTAATTATTCTCAATTTATTATTTCACAGTGTTGCTTGGCCCATACTGTTATATGAGAGTATTTTTTAGTAATACACCACGTCTTACATGTTATGTTATTACAATGTATAACAATTGCTATGTAATGTAAGTGACTTGCCCTGGGTATGTTAAACTTAGCTTAGAACATTTTATCAACCCATGAGAGATTTCTAATTGTTTGCCTATATTTTTGGGTGTAAATGAAAATATTTAACAAAAGAAAACGTTATTTTGAAAAAATATTAGCAAATTGCTGATGTCTGAGTATCTGAAATTTTCTTGTTGCAAAATTTAATACATTAAAAAGCACTCATCAAGCCTTTAAATGTATAGCTACAAGATGTACATTATATTTTCGTAAATTAGATCGGTTGAGTGTAATTATTTTCTTATTTTCAAAGAAAATGTAACAGCAATGTAACATAAAAAAGGTGTTACAATATATGAGACTGCACACAATAAAATTATATTGCTCTCGTTAATGTCAGCCATGTTTTGTTGTATGACATCCTCATGAATAATTAATCACATGATGTAATGCTCAGTGATGTCATTTGAAAAAAATGCTAATGATGGGTGATATTGTTCTCATGTGAAAACTCCTGTGCATCCACTTCAAACCCTCCAATGTTCATGAAACTTATTGATCAACGTTAGTGGTTTTAAAGTTGAACTCTTGTGTGTATTCATGGAGCTGTTTTGGTATTATTATGTGTAATATTTATAATATGCATGTTTGTTCAAATTTCAATGCTTTTCAGCACAACTAAATACTAGTGACTATTTCTTCTGATTCTATTGGTTTCTTCAAATGTTTCTTGCTAACACTTTTCAATGGTGTTCCAGCATGTTTTGATTCATACACCACTGACAGTAATTCAAAGCAAGGCTGGTGAAGTTGTTTTATTTAATTTTTTTTAATGTGCACAAATTCAGACCTTAAGTGACATACTGTAAATACAATAATTATTCACTGGGTTTGAATTTATGAATCACCATTTTCACTGATAAGTAAAATAGGCTTAATTAAATCCATGTTAACATGTAAAATAACAATAAATCTCATTGTTCCCTTGACAAATTCATGAAATTCAAATAGTGAATATGCTCAAAACATCAGAATAGTGAAATTA